CCCCAAAACCCCAAAACCCCAAAACCCCATAAGTAAAAATTTAATAATAAAACAGATTGAAAGGATAAATAAAATTGGGAAATTTAATTACAACTACTATTTTAGATAAATTTATTAACTTTTAAAATAATGGATTTCTAATATCAAACGTCTTCTGAAGAATAAGTTAGAGAAGCCATTGTAGAATTGTACCTGAACGTGAAGATTCGTTCGACCGAGGAGGTAAATACACCTTGCCTATTAATATACTTTTTATTAATCCCTATCTCTCTAGATAGCTAACTTCAATGACGACATGATGGAGGAGGAGAGAGAACGGCTGTACAGAGTGGATAGTTTGGAGGTGTTAGACTATGTTAAGTAGTCAGTCGAGATACTTATGAACATGAAGGGGGAGGAATTCGAAAATTACTAGAAGAATAAAGAGATTCAGGAAAGAATCAAAAGGCGAGAGGAGGAAAAGTTGGAGCAGCTTAAAAAGCAAAAGCAGCAATAGCAATAAGAAGGACTGAATGAAAGCGAAAGAGTATAATAGCTGCAGCAGAATAAGGGGAGAAATAATAATAGGTTCATTCTGGACACATCTGTCTACAGCTCACTGTCGCAGACTGGCTAAGTGATGTCTCAGAAGTCCATACCTACCGACTATGAGAAGATGATACAAAAACTGGAGGGGGACATCAGGAACCACATTAGAGTGGAGTAGCAGTTAAAGCTACATATAGAGTCCATCTAGAGCCAGTTAGAGGAGCTGCAAAGACAATCTGAGGACAAGCATATCCAGGAAGACCCACAGGTCAACGAGTTGAAGGTGCGAATGCTTGACAAGGAGAAGTAAATTTTGAAGTTGCAACTTGAATTACAAGAAAAGGACAGACCTCTGAAAGAAAAAACTGCAACTATTGTTAAGCTTGAGGACAAAATTAGAGTAATTGAAAAGAAGTACAAGGAGGAATTGGATGGACTCAAGCAAGAGATCGTCAATTACCAACAGATGGAACAGCAAAAGATAAATGAGGACAAGATTAGGGAGCTGTAGCTAGATCTTAACAATATACCTGGTGGGAATATTAGCATGCTACAGAATAATGGTGGTAATAACATGATAATGAAAGGCTAGCAAAGTAATAGCTTTGGAATGGGCACAAGGACTGCTGGAGGCACACAGTCATTCACTTAAAATGAAATATCATAAGCTAGTGGCAGAAAATATAATGGCATACAGGAAACATTTAGAAGTAATTAAAACCCAACCAACAGGACATCAATAGATCAGTTTTGTAACTCAAACCTTGGTATGTATAACTACGGCTCAAACATTACTAACAAATTCAATTCAAACTACAATGATGTGATGAACAAAACTCCTAGTACGAGTAATCATAATGACCTGAGTAATCTAGATTATTTGTCCACTAACAACGGCTTCAATCAATTTTAGGATACACCCTTAACTGGTCTAAATGATGTCTATTAACAGAGTGCTACTAATAAAGATCATCATAACATAAATTCAATGTCGAGAAAGAATATGGAGAAGAGCAAATTAATTCAATCTTGTCTCCTAAGAGGCAATGTCAGTAAGAAGGAGCACAAGCGCAGTCAATCAAATGCCTCCGAGAACTATCCTACTTAGTCCTCAAACAACAATAAAATTATTATAAATCAGCAGCACTACTTCACTGACTCCATCAAGATCTATTAAAATGATGCAAGTATTAACAACAAGTTCCAACATCCTTCTCCACTTCAATAGCCTTCAGCCAATACATTAGCTGGTCTGCCCTTGGCAGCAGCTTCTACCAACTTTATTCCTTAACCTCTTAATGCTAATAACTTTACCTAGCCTTAGACCTCAAGATAAAATTCAATGGAATCTTCCAAACGTGGCAGCAAGCTTAAGAAGAGACAGCAAAAGACAAAGTAATAGGCATAGACTATATTTTAGGGAGGCATGATCAATCCTTTGGCGAGCACAGGAGAAGAGGACTAGAACACCATCCTAGCTAAACTGGTATCTTAATAACCAATAAGTTCATAGAGATATATTTCAGCGAAGAGGGGTGCAGCGACTACCTCATTGGGAGGGGGAGGACCGTCATCAACTTTGAATAACTTTGTGATCATGCAACAGTAACAGCATCACTTGCAGAACTCGCAACTTTAGAATAGTCTTGGAGGAAACCTGAGTGCAGCAGTCTAGTAGCAAAAGTAAATGAGCTTAAGTGTGAGCAAGAACCTGAACAAGAACAAGATCTCACAGACACAAGTAAATTCAACTAACTCCACTCCCTCTAAGTTCAAGCATAATAAGCAGAATCTGATAAGACTAGCTTAGCAAAAGATGATGCAAATGCATTAGCAACAATAGACTCAGCAGATCCATTAACAGACATTGCTGGTCCCATAGCAGTCGATCTTGACATAGCATTCAATGGTGGGTACTCAAGGCTTTAGAAGAAAAAATAGTTCACATACCCCTCTTAGATGTAATATCAAGCAAATGGTGAGCAATAATGTAATGACACACTAGAATGTTCTGACAGAGGCTAGTAGTAATGGTGGGTTGCTAAGTGGAAACAAGCTTTTCACTATGGTTTAGAATAACCTATTTTAATGAGGGTGATGGCTGGAGTCCATCTGAGAGATTATTTTATAACTGTATATATGGAGAGTTCTTTTTCGATGAATAAGCTATTTATGATTTATATAGAAATAACAAGCACAATGGATGGTTTTATCAATCTTAATAATTATCATCAGCTATTATTATTTATATTTCACATCAACATTATTTGTCACATTATTTTCAATTTAGGGGTTTTGGGGTTTTGGGGTTTTGGGGTTTTGGGG